GTACCACACTGTGGGCCCAGGGAGGTCAAAAAAAAAAAAAAAAAAAGCTGAAAAGGCGTGTTCCCCCCCCCCCCGCCCACCTTCACCCCTTTTACTTACCACCCCCCTTTCCTCCCACCCCGTGTTGTGCTCCTTCTCAGCGGGCCCCCGCCGCCACAGATCAGCATCTGTGGTGACGAATGACACATTTATTTTTCTACAAAGCCAGTGTGTATGTAAAACTGCTGAAGTGCATCAAGATGTCAAGTACTTGGGCCGGGCCACCCAGGTTGCCTTTGGAAGATAACCAGATGGAAGCTTCAGCACCAGAGAGCCACGAATATGGACAAGTCTCTCTCTCTCTCTCTCTCTCTCTCTCTCTCTCTCTCTCTCTCTCTCCCTCCCCCCTTCTCGAGTTGCCTCTCACCAGCATTCTCGCTCTCTCACTCGCTGTTTTGCGCTGTTCAAGTTTGCTTTCTTTTCACATTAAAAATGAACAGGACGATTTTTAAAAATCACACGCATGTGGAATTGCACATATTGACACAAGCACACTAGTAATGGATGGTCACACCGTGGGACCTCCAATTGTTTTTGACACTACCATTTCGTGGTAGTCTGATAAGAAGCATCTCCTAATTTCGAAAATATTACTTGTTTTTTTCTTTTTGACAATCCAGTGCCAGTGTTGCGGAATAACCTGGCACCAACACAGAACGGGGGTGACAGTCATCCCCAATTTTTACGCTTTCAGATGTATTATCAGACCCGTAACAGAGGCGCTTGTCAAGTTTACTCACTTGTCCCACTCTGTTGAGCATTTTATCACGCCAGACTGATGTCATCCAATTATCTGATTGAGGGAAGCTATATCTCTCATTCATTGAGTTGTGTGTGAAAGGCTTCAGTTCCGGGGATCTCTGGATAATTGATATTTTGTCTGAACCACCTTAAGTTCTGGTTAGCATACAGTCGTTTATGTCTATTATTATCTGACATCACATTTTGCCGTCAAGAGACTGCGTTTCACTTCGCATCATTTGGTCCATAATGCTGCTGCTTGCCTTCTAACTGGAGCTCGTAGGAGGGAGCAAATAAGTCAAATTCTGGCTTCCCTTCACTGGCTTCGTATTTAGTAACATTTGTGTTGTACCTGCACTGGTAAAACCCTCCGTTAGGTCTCACTCCCACCATTCCCGCTTACTCTTAAACTCCCTTCCTCAACCCGAGCTCCCACACCAGCGTGCTTAAGATAACTGCACACACAAGCGGGTGGGTGGTGTAGCAGGCGCGCTTGTGTTTCTGTGGTACTTTGATCTCCGTGTTGTGTTTAGATATTCAAGGGGGATATCCTATCACCTCCAGTTTTTGCTGCGGTCAGCCCTTGCAGTGGCTCGGCTGTGTGGCAGATGAAAGGAGGGGGTCGGGGTGGGACCCGGTTTGTGTTTTTATCATGGGTGGATTTGCTCCCCCCCCCCCCCTTCTGTCCGTCTGTCCTCCAACTTTGACCAAAGGAAACAGCATTGGCAAGATTGTTTTTAGCTGGCGAGGGGGGTTGCGGAGGAATAATGTTGTGCCGGCGCTGTTTTTGTATGTGTGTGTGGTTGACATATCGGTTTTACTCTTCAGGGCGGTCTGAGAGAAATAAAGATGCATAGTGTACAACATGCATAAATACTAGGGGTGTGCCAAAAGTTACGGTTTCCTACGTTCCTTAGTTTTCAGGTCACCTCCCAGTTCACACGGGGTGAAAGAACCACTTGCAAAACAAAAAAAAAGATGCAGCCGGATTTTGTGTAAACGGCAACACATTTTAATGACATTTCAGGAAACTTTTAAGGCAACGGCTAGCAGTAAATTCGTCAATAATGTTAAATGTAATAAATGAAAATAAATACAATAAAAAATAAAAAGCCTTCAAAATATACAATGAACACAAAAAAAAATAAATCCTTGAAATGAAAAATAATGAAATAAATTGGTTCTGTCTGTCTGGGGGTCTTGATTTGTTCCCCAGTGGATGTGTTCTTCTTATCGAGCAACATGGAATGGGCAGTATTTGACTTCTGCTGTATTTGGTTGACGATGGAGACAAGTTACATTGACGGTCCAGCTCTCGAATCGACCTCCCCGACTGATACGTGATAGTTTTGTTTTAAAGAGAATATTAATATCCCAAACACACTCCGTCCTGTTTATTATATACCGAAGGCCAAACATTTCCCCCCCAAGTTCCTGAGGCTTTTCAATCTCCAAAAGGGTCTACGTTTCTCGCTCACCCACCAGGAGACGCCGCATTGCAATCATATCAGACTGACAGCTGGTGTACATTGTCAATAAATGTTTTTCACAAAGTCGAGTATTTATTATTCGATATGCACAAACATGCTCCCCGTAAGCCAAAATCATGTCAATATAAATTATAGTCGGTCTCCCCCTTGCAGTTTTAGCCAGAAGTACCCTTTCCACGTTTGGCTTGGCCTGCTGTCTCTTCTGCTCATTGTGGTTTGGTTTGACCCAACACACACACACATACCGTATCTTTTTTACATTTTACTGTCCATCACTTGGCTCTTGTTTCTTCTCCAATGAACACCAAAGTCATATGGCCTTTCATTTTCGCTCTACCTCAAAAATTTTCACGCCCATATTTCATTTTATTTATTTTTTTGTGTGTGCAGAATTGTTCCAGGCTGACGTGGACGAGTTCTGCCAATACTACGGCAGACGAGATGGAGGCCTGTGCTTTCCAGATTTTCAACGAAAGCAAGCACAGGGCCAAGATTCCAACTACTTGGGCGATGAGAAAATGGAAGATATCAGCAGGTTTGTCGCCACAATTTCTTTTCCTTTTTGCGTGCCACGCGCCTTGACGAGCCGAGTCGCATGCTGAAACTTTGGGCAGGGGAGAGCTTCCGCTCACAAAGTGCAAATGCGTCAGTGTGGTCGCTTCCCTTCTCTTGAGGCGAGGCTTTTCATCCTCGCTTCACTCGGGGCAAAAGACCAGGCAATGTTTGCTCCGTTTTTTTCAAATCCAAGGACAGTTCAACTAACTGACTAACACAGAACAGAAACAGGCACACATGGAGTCAATGTGGTGACTTGATTGTCAGCCTTGACCTCAATGTGTGTGTGTGTGTCTGTGTCTGTGTGTGTGTGTGTGTGTGTGAAGTATTGGTTGTGATATTTAGATTTGTTTAAATACAAATATGGCACTACAGCCCTCCAAAAAGCATGTAACATTTAATCTGTGGGTGGGGGTTGCTGTTTCTGATTGGGACTCATTTGGAGGAATTCCCTCGTAAGAGTTTGTCAATGTACATGCCCAAAATGGCTGCTTTCATACCAAAATGGCCAACTTCCTGTTTAATGGTTCCTTCAGACATTTTTGTGCATCCTGTTATTATAGACATGCCCACCCAATGTCAGTGGGAGAAACTGCGGCTAATTGAACTGCCCAGGCCCCTTTGGAGAATGGAAAAGAAAGTCTGTATTGTTATTGGTGCAAATACAACATACTGTATCCCCCATGATTAACGGGGGTTCACCGAGTAATGCAATTTAATATCCAACACCCCACTTATAACCAATGTTTTAAATTTTCCCACGGCCCTTGATTTTTCTTGACCTTCTCCTCTGTCTGACCTTCTTGTATCTCCGCCATTGCCCAGGAAACACAAACACAACTGCTACTGTGCCCAGGAGGTGTTGAGTGGTCTGCGGCAGCCTGTGGCCGTGGTGCATTGCGGCGACGGATCCCAGCGCCTCTTTGTCCTGGAACGGGAGGGATTTGTCCGAATACTCACCCATGACCTGCAGCTGCTCAAAGAGCCCTTCCTGGACATCCACAAGCTGGTGCAGAGCGGCCTGAAGGTAAGGAGGAATCGTGGAAAACCACGAGGAACACCTTAGGGTAGGGTGGTGTGAGTGGGGTGGGGGGGGGGTGTCTGCTCACTATTACCTTTCCAATTGTATTGTTATGACAAAACAAGAGACCATTCATCAAACATGACGGCAGCCAATCATTGCGCTAATTAACTGTACATACAGCTAGCATTGTCCTGCACCGCTCACTCTCACAAGATGGTTTAATGGCCCGCCTAATCTATCCCACATTGTTCCTCTAAGGAGTCACGCTGAATTACAGTTGAACCCCCCCAAAAAAAAGTGATGCGATTTGAGAGTTCGGGCAACATGGTCTGGAAAAATAGGCCTCAGTAGTCAAACAAGAAGTCTTTTTCTTTGGGGTTTTTTTTAGGCGGATTTTCTGTGATGCGTGGTGGTAACTACAGATTTTGATTCAGAAAAATGGATTTGTGTCGTCAAGGGGCATGGCTAAGTGACTTCAGGAGCTCGAGTCTGCTGCCTCAAATCGTGGCCAACAAAAGATGTTTACAAGTGTTCTCCTTCTGTTTTTGTTTGTTTGTCTCTTTGGCACACATTGTTAGCTTGAGCAAAGCAGTTTTATCGCCGTGACCATTGTATTGCCGCGACCATTATTCTTGCTACGGCACTGTGTTTGCACCTTTGCACACTTAGATCAGTTGAAGCCAGCCAAGACCAAATTTGGGACACATACTTCCCTGTTTTCTATTAGCACTAGCCTCTTGCTAGCTCGTCACCAGCCTTTTCATCTTTCAACTTCATAATACAGTGGTGACAGTTTAATCCTGCAACAAATTACTTTTTGAAGAATTGTTTTAAAATCCGGTGAAAGTGGAAGCTAGGCGAGCACCCGGAGATGAGTTTGAACTTTTGAAGTTTCAGATGCACAATCAAAGAACGATGGGAAGTGTCTGGAATTCTTCAGATTGCATGAGGAGATGGCCTTGTCGGGATATTTCGGGGATGAGGAGGAAGGGGTGCACACGCTCCCGGACAGGAAGTTTGTTCCCGCACGCATGCCACTCACAGTTTGTTTACAGGGAGTCAAAGCAAGCAAAGCATTTGAATATGTAAGTGGCCCCTTGAGGGACGCTCGGCATGCTGCCTCTTCTCTTATCGTCGGCATCGTCGCTGGATGTGGATGAAGCCATCGTTATGATGATTCGATCCCTTGAGTCTTGTTCTGTGAAATCTCCTCCAGCCACACAGAGTGGAGAAGGTATTTACCGGCAGCATCAACAGGATGGAGCTGCCTTCAATACAGAGCGCCCCCCCTCCCCCCACCCCCCGGCCCCCCCCAGAGAGGGGCCAGATAACTGGTTTATCATCACCAGTCCCATGCACATGCTTTGATTGTAATGCCCTGTGTTGTTTCCTTCTCCCCTCCAAAACACTCCCACTCCTTCTGTGGACGCCCACCCTCCTCGTCCCCTCCATGTGCCAATTAAGCTGCAGCGAAACAATGGTGTGCTGCTTTGGTGTGGGCTGCATGCCGCGCTGTGGGTGTTCTGCCTGTAATTCGATCTCTGTACGCTTGTCCCTGCCGCAAATGCGCACCATCCTCAGTCATCCTCGCCGCGGTCTCTCCGCAACTGCTTGATATTTTCCTCCCTCACCTCTAATGTGATTGGACAAGACTCAGCTTGAATGCATTTACTTGCAGCTGCGGCTCTTTTTTTTTTTCAAGGGGAGGGGTGGGGGACAAGAAATGTCACTGCTAATTTTTAGGATCATTACTTATGGAAATTAGTCAACTTCTTCCCGTGGTATGACAAATAGTCTCTTTAATTATGAATTAGGAGACCGAATAAACCTCAAAACAAGCAGCGATGGACACATCGCACCCCCCACCCCCTTTCTCTCCTCGAAACGATCATCAAGCTTTGAGAACATGCTTCGGTCACGTTATGTAGCAAAGGGAAAAATCCTCGACAACTCAGCAAGCCCTTAAATTGCCCAAAATGGCTGCTTCAAACCATGTTGACTGACTTGCTGTTAGAAAGAAAATACAAAATTTCACACAGCTTGGTGCCCTAATAACCCACGAATGTATCTGTATTGTCTTTTGATCAAAACTGACAAGCATAACCCCGGGAGACTAATTTCGTTCTCTTCTGTATCTACATCACCATCTCTCCTCTGGCCTCCTTTCTGTCAAACAGCAAAAAGCAGATTGACTTGAATGCATGACACCGATTCACAGGGACTCCAAATGGAATTTTTTTTTTTCACAAAACTTTGTGGCTATTCTAACAAGTAACAGGAATGCACCCCCCCCTCCCCTCGAAAAGAAAAACAAAACAAAAAAAACCCCACAATGTAGACAACTTTCCAAATAACAAAACAACCGCATCATTTGTAGGCCTACTGGCCCAAAACCTGTTTTGATGGTGTCTGAAAGGATGTCTCGTGAGTGACAGGCCCTGATGACACGTCGCGTTAAGACAGTCCAATGTCCAAAATCTGTTATTTATAAAATTTCCTGTTAGTGATTGTATAAAATGTATCTGAATGTGTACCGTTCATGCAGTACGGTATGTATGCTAAGGAACATTTTTCGCATCTGATTAAAAAAAAATAAAGCCTTTAAAAAAAACAGGCTTCTTTGAGGACATTTTTAAAGAATTATAGTGTGACTATCTTCACCGGTCAAAACTGAAGGACTGAGTTTCTTCTCTGGGCATTGTGGATCAAATTCTAAACTCGCATCGACTGTACAACAACAAAGGACATCGAAAAGATGGATGCCAAGTCACATTGCCAACTACTGGCCTGGCATGCACATCGCATGACCTCATATTTGGAGTTCCATGTGAACGGGCGTCCGTTTGTGTGGTGTTTGCCAAAACTAAGACCAGGATTACCCTTAACTCGCCATAAGGTGTTATCATACAACCCCCTTACTCATCCCTTCTTCAAGCTTCTTTCTCCCCACCCATTCGATGTCAAAGCAGGAGCCCCCGGAGAACACGAGTGGAGGTAACAGAGGAACCTGGCAGCAGGTGTTTGTGACAAATGAAAAGATAATACCTTGAAAGATTCATTCGGCCCCGCCCTGCCTGGAAGTGTGCTGACAGATGCTGTATTGAGGGAACACATAAGGGGACAACTATTGTACAATGAAGCAATCCGAGGAGTTATTAGCAGGGGAGCAAATTGTTCATTCGGTTGCAACATTGTTTATTCAGGGTGTCAACCCCCCCCTTGGCCTCGGATCACGGCCTCTTTGGAATTGCGGTTACCTTTTGGTCTGTTTTAGGGATGTGGATCACTGCATCTCCAGACATACATCAAACATCCTGACATTTTTGGTTGCTGTACAAGTCACCTATTTCACCCCCTTGTTGTTTTTATTTGACTTGAGCGAGCTGCTATCTTGTCTGACTCTCTTGCATCTCAAGAGCTTTCACAAGATCAATGAAACCCACGGGGTTCCTGGTGTGGGTCTCGGTTCTTGCTCATCAGTACTCCTAGTACATTCCAGTGTGCCGCGTCATCCGTTTTGATTCCACATGTGGCCCGTGTCACTGTCTGCATACATGTTACGACATCCAGACAAGACTCTGCAGTTAACCCTACAAGATGTGCAAGCTATGCGCCATTACATCCATCTCCATTATTTAGATGTGCTGTGCGACTTTTTGGCCAGAGTAGTCAGGGCTTGCGTGTGAGCTGGAGCCGATCCCACCCCAACTTTGGGCGAGCAGCAGGGTACACCCTGGACTGATCGCCAGCCAATCACAGATCATTGTGATAATGAATGAGAAATAAAGCAGAACTATTCATTCTTTGGTGACACGACAAGCAAGCCATGCCGAGGGGCATATCAAACAAAACGCCCTCGGTTCACCGCAACACCCACTGTAGTGTAGCGTGGTCTGCCAAATTCCCAATGGCACAAAAACTAGTCTTGCACCGGCACAAAAATTAAGATGTAGCGGGTTTTTACGCCCGGGCGCACGTGCACTGTCTACGAAAATCGATCCCCTCGTCATTATGCGTCCTCATTGAGAATGAGATCGCACGGAAACCTCTCCAGAAGCACGTTCATAAACATTCTTTACACCTCAAAAGCTTGTGCTCATTCTTTTGTGGAGAAGAAGAGCGCCACATAAATGGCCAAGCTGCCTGGCCCGACCAGCCCAGCCTGGCAAGGCCTAGCTTGGCGCTCTTGCTGATTATTACAGCGAGTGAGCGAGCTATGACGGCAGGACCACCAGGGTAGTGACAAGCGGTGGGGCTGCCTGTCGGCCTGAGACAAAAGGTTTACATATTACACAAGCAATTTAGATGTTTTCTAAACATGTTGCCAGGACAGTGGGAGTTGGCAGACCCTTCCTTGTTTATTTATATATCTATTTTTTTAACCCCCCACCGTCTCCTTTTCCCCTTAAGCCGTGAATTTTGCATGCATTTTGTGTAAACCACCAAGGAGCGCGAACGCTCGGGGTGGCGGCGCGGATGGGGTGGTACGGCGTCGAAGCACTCTGCACTTTTGTGCTCTCTATGAACTGTGAGCGAGCTAATAAATTCTTTGAGCCACTCAGCGCCGCATTCACGGATATCCCCCAAAGATTACACACACAAATCACCGCACAATGGGGGGCCACCTCGGAGGGCCCCGGGGCATCACGGGAGGGGTGTGGTGGGCGGCTGCGGGGACGCTGATCCCCGAGGACCAGCGCGCATATACCAAGAGGAGTGGGCGGGGTTGGAAGAGGAGGCGCAAACGGCTGCGCTCGGAGTCAAATGGTTTATAATGGCGGGTAATGGTCTATTCAAGGAGGGTTGGTGGAGGTGTGAAGTGAAACAGGCGATGGTTTGAAAGGGAAGAATGAGAGAATGCGAGGAGTGTCAAAGAGAATGTGATGGATAAATAAAAAGGGGGATTAGAGGGTTGTGGGGATGGGGTGGGGGTGGGGGGTTGCAATTCTGAACCCACACGACCAAGGAGAGTCCGAGGCGGGACATAATTAACTCCTGGATCTTTTGTGCTTTGCCATCTGACCGCAGGGCGGAGATGAAAGGGGCCTGCTAAGCCTGGCATTCCATCCCAATTATAAGAAGAATGGCAAGCTCTACGTCTCCTACACCACCAACCAGGAGCGCTGGGCCATCGGGCCGCACGACCACATTCTCCGCGTGGTGGAGTACACCGTGTCCAGGTAACGGGAAACGGTTCAAGCGCATGTTGACGTTGATCGCGAGCTGACAAAAACGCGAATGGGCTCGCTCTTTTCCAGTTTTGAAAAAGTCTTGTTCCAACTGTAACTCTCTGACCATCTCTCAGACATATCTTCTATTTGTAAGTCCTCCTCCCAAGCGCCATTTGCTTAGTTTTCTTAATGGCTCCCCCTTGGTCAAATAACATGTGGGTATGAACAAGCTGTAGGCAAACTTACGGCCCGTGGGCCGTATATGATCCACAGTGCTTTTGAATACGGCCCGCTGAACTTGACCAACAACAGTAAAAAAAAAGAAAAAAAATGTTAATCAGTCATTCATCATTTCATTGTGTCCCTGCAATGCCCGCGTTTCCCCAATAGATGGCGCACTGACCAAGAATAAAGATGTCTTATCACCAACAAAAAAAAAAAAAATCTTGACTACAATAAAGCAGTTGCGGGGCAATAAAAAAAATTACACATTTTCATGAGACCAACTAGTACTGGTCTTACTTGAAAATTTGAAGTAGCTTATCATCAAATGTTTTATGATGATACTATCAATTACCCCACGCCCAGAATTCTTGTAATTTCACAACTTCTTCTGGTACTTTTACTGTCATTAAAGCCTTTGTACTCCGTGGTTGCATTATGCATAATTTTGCTTTTTTTTCCCCTTAGACAAAATAATTGCGCCAGCCACGTATTCAAAGTGTACGGAAACTTCCGAACTCTCATTCGTACACCCATGAGGTTAGTTTGGGGTTTCAAACTACCTTGTCAGTGGAACAGAAAAGCAGAAGTAGTAACTGGCCAGTAGATTTATATAAGTTAATTAACTTATTCTTGCCTGACAATTTAATGATACATTTTGTAAGCGTCTTGTCGCTGGAAAAAAATAGGTTTAAAATGTGTGAGGAAAAAAAAATGGACGTCATTTCATGCTATAATGTGACTGACTGAAAAATTCCAGCACACGCAGTTTTGAGAGTTTCCCCAAAAAGAAAAGGTGTGAAGGGGCAGTAAAAAGTGGGCTATCATCGTTCTGCTGGAAATCCCCGACGGCGTTCATTTGACTCTTCTATGATAAAGAAAACCATCTTCTCTCATAAACCTCTTTTCAATCACACCAGTCCATTTATTTGCCTTAATGACCTAATCTTAATTACAGTTTTGGCACGCCATCTCGGTGACTGACTGCGGCGCATGGGGGCCGTAACTCAATTAGAGCATTCGATGGCACTTTTACGGCGTTATTTTCTTTAGAAAGCAGTTTTTTTATACCCCTTTTTTTTTCAAATTGCAGGACGTTTAGAAACTCAAATCAATCCAAGATGAAATGTGACTCGTACTCGCAAAGCCAAAGCCTCACTTTGCAAGAGACTGCGTGATGTCATCGCCCGCCCACTGTCTGCCTCATGTCTCAACTTGACATTTGTTGAAGGTTTTATAATGTCACTGATGAGTTTTATTTGGTCATACGTCAGCATTAGGTTCTTTCAGTGGCGGAAAATAATGTAAAATTACAAAAATAGTGGTGCCTTGGGATAGCTTTTTAATTCGTTCTGTGACCATGCTCTGAACTCAAAGAGCTAGCATCGAAAATGCAGCTGAAATGAATGGAAATAAAATTTATTTATTCCCCCCCCCCCAATAAAACAAAACAAAATGGTTGGTGCAAAGAATTTGTTTATAATTGCCTGTAGATGCCACAGCATCGTAGCAAAGTAGTATTTTTGCTGAAGTCAAACTCCTCAACTTACTTCAACATAGTTCCTCGACACCAGGATCTCACCAGATGGTGGCAAATAACTTTTGTTGTCTGAATGAAACTCCTCAACTGACTTCACCAGAGTTCCTTGACACCAAAATGCCACAGGGTGACAATGCACAAATTGTTTTCATTATTATTATTATTTTAAAATGAAATACAATTTTTTCAGTTGACAAACTGAAGGGAAAAAAGGCGGAAACAGAGAGGTAAAGTCAGCCGCGGTTGAGGTCTTATTTGATTTGCCTTCTTGCGGCTATTATAGGGCGTAAAAAACAAAAAAAGACAACAGTGACGGGGAAGCGTTCGGAGAAACAAGACATTTTCCAACCAAGAGATTTGTTTGAGGTTGTTGGCTACAAGAATCATATGAGAGGCGCTACATCCGGCTGTGTCCAAGGATGTTCCGTGGTTCCGGGACCATGGTGGGAAGTTTAAAACCCGACATTAACTTCCAGCTCCCTGTTGTGCGAAGGTAATTGTCACTGCGCGACAACTATTGTACCTACTCTGTGTTATTTTGCGCACAGATTCGTGGCATCCTGTTGAACTGGGTTCTGTATAAAAGACGTAGGAGCGCCCGTGCCAGGACTTCTACGATGCCGGATCTCTTTGTGAAAGAGTCCGTTTCTTTCCCTCAGAAAGGACCCAAACCAGGCGGATACCCGGACCCTGCGGGTACTGATGGAAGTGGCTGAGCTGCACCGGAAACACCTGGGCGGGCAGCTGCTCTTCAGCCCCCAGGGTCTGCTGTACATTGTTTTGGGGGACGGGATGATCACCCTGGATGACATGGAGGAGATGGATGGACTCAGGTGAGGACAGGTCCAGTGGTATCAAGGCATGAAGGTGATCCAAAGCCTCAAAGGTATTTTGTGCGCAGTGATTTCACAGGGTCCATGCTCAGGGTAGACATGGACACGGACGGCTGCGCCTCGCCCTATTCCATACCGCGGGACAACCCGTACTTTAACAGCACCAATCAGCCGCCGGAAATCTTTGCGCAAGGCTTACACGACCCAGGCAGGTTGGTCAAACAGGAAAAAAGAAAAGGACAAAATACCACACACAGATAGTGCACTTGTGTCGTTCGGTGCTCATTCGTTGGTGGTCTGTGTGGCGTAGGTGCAGCGTGGATCGGCTCCAAACGGAGAACGGTAGCCTTCTCATGCTCTGCACGGATGCCAGCGGCAAAAACTCAACTACTGGAAGAATATTGGAGATTCACAAAGGGAAAGATTACGGTGAGTTCAAGGTTTTTTATTGTATTCTCCTAAATTACTCGACCGTCGGTGTCTATTTCAGGGAGCGCGGTGCACATGGTAAGAACTCCACGCTTAATCTGGGAGAGATTTGAGATGCCTAAGAGTGCTGCTGTTTTGGTTAACAACAGAGGCTAAGCAGTCAACTCTCGTCATGTCCATTTAGGAATCATATCATCTACATTTTCTTCTCACTGGAGGAAAAGGAGGTGTTTGCAGTATTTGAAGGAACTCATTTACAAAAGCAGAAAGACTCCACACTTAATCTGAAAGAGATCTGAACCCGTTGCTGTTTTGGTTAGCAACAGAGTGCAACTGCGACCAGCAATTAAACCCTTTCATGGGAACCATATGCTCAACATTTCTTTTACTGAGCATGAAAAACGAGAAACTCCTCTCCACACGTGGATCGATCACCGCCACATTTTTCTTGGCGGGTGCTGCTGTTTTGGTTAGCAACAGAGTTCAAATAGGCTTGCGATCATATCTGTGAGTGAATTTATATAATTTTTATTTCTATCCAATTTTGCCTGATGGCCAAAGGGAGGAAGGAGTCTATAGCAGGAAGCTGTTTGTACCCAGCAACTAATTGAGCAGAATGATAAAAAAAATATTTTGGATTCCTTTAATCTGTAGCATTGATCATAATGTAAATATTGTTTGAAACAGAATGCATCCTTTGCCTGAGATTTGGGCTTTTTAAAAACATATCCCCCAACATCTTCTTTTACAAATGTCTTTTTGCAAGAACACAGCGCTTTGGCAATACGTTGAGAAACAATCCGGGACAACTGCTGAGGTGCACAAGGTTAAATGGAAAAAATGTAGTGAGCGCCAGAGAAACACCCCCCCCCCCCCAAGCCTCAAAACACACAATTACAAACACACTTGGAAGCCCTATAACCATCCTGCCCCAATCATCGCTCAGATATGCCAAGAGAGAGCAAGATTGCATCCACACTTTAGATTTAGAGCTGTCAACAGCAATAACCGCAGGGGTGACGGCGAAGCATTGTTGAAAACTCAAATCTCGGTGGGGTTCCGCTCACAATGAGAGGAAAAAAAAAGGCAAATGACGGTCCGTTTTTAACCCACTTTTCTTCCACAAATAAATTACGGGTGTTTGTCTTAATAACGACGACTTTGGCAAATCAAATGTAGGATAGTCTGCGACACGGGCCAATTATCTAAGCTGGAAAGTTATTACCGCGGGGAAATCAGCGCGCCTTCCTCCATTCACATTTCCCATTGCCAAGACCACAGCGCTCCAAAAATAAGCCTTATTACATCAGCGTCAAACTTATGAACCGGACAGGGGGACAACGTGGACGTCTGCCAAAGTCCATGTGCTACGGACGAGACGCACACCCAGTACGTAATGGTTTGTTCCACGAAAACATCCGGAAACAGTTCCTCTGTCATATTTAATGGCGATCGCTCTATTGTTGTTGTTTGGCTTAATCCGTCTCATAAAATAAACTGTCATTATAACATTAGTTCCTCTCCGCCTTTCTCAGTGTTGCTTTACTTTGAATAGAAAAACTAACATTAAGATTGGCAGTTATTAATGTGACAGTAGTTTTTTTCACACACACACAAAAATCTGTCGTTTTTTTTTCCTTCTGAAAAGTGCTTCAATAGTATTATGACATTAAAAAAAAACTTTTTCTGAGTAAAATGTTTTCCTTTAAAAAAGTTACTTAAAAAAAACGGAAATTATATGACTAATTTACTCCAGTAAAATTAATCTTTATTCTTGTAATATTTTACTTTTTTCCTCAAACATACTTTTCCTCAAAAGAAAATAGCATTTTCTCAAAAATTATGACTTCATATTTGTCATATAACGTGTTTTTTTTCATTCATTTCATTATTGACCCCATTATTGACTGCTGACCTGTACGTTGAGCGCTGCATGCTCTCCGCAGCTTCATGCAGAGCTAATTTGAAAGAGGAATTTGATCCTGCTTTTTTTATTTTGCTACACAGAGAACATAGCAACACTGGCAATTGAATAAATCTACAATTTTCCTGTCCTTCATACCGTGCAGAGAATGAACCTTCCGTCTATGACCTGCAGTCCATTGGAGGAGCACCACCGGTGGGGGGTTTCATCTACAGAGGTTGCCAGTCCAGACGATTGTATGGCAGTTACGTGTTTGGAGATAAGCTCGGGTAAGGACACGATGCTCAAACCAACCGCTTTCTCTCTGAAAGAGGCGTGTTTATACAATTTCAGATGGGTGGCTATACTGACAGACGAACAACCACACCCGTGCTCACACTCACACCTAGGGACAATTTAGAGTGTTCCATTAACCTGCCATGCATGTTTTTGGAATGTGGGAGGAAACCGTAGTACCCGGAGAAAACCCACTCAGGCACAGGGAGAATATGCAAACTCCACACAGGCCGAATCGAAACTCTGCACCTCTGCATTGTGAGGCCGATGCGCGAACCAGTCGACCACCGGGCCGCCCATAAAATGTCAAAAAAGGGAAAAATAGAGACTGGGTATGGCTAATAAACACGGGTGCTCACGACATTGTGGAGTGACCACCTGGCCGCCGACTGAAATGCCACCGCCACATAATAGTATTTGTGTTCCTGATGAGGCGTGTGTCGGTGGCGCCTATTATAGGGTGGTGTTTAGTTTGTATAAAATGAATGACAAATGACTAATAAAATCTACAGCTTTAGAGGAAATATGTTGCATATCTCGTGTTTTATCCGTCAAACCTAGTCCTGAATGTTCCACACTGTATACGGCAGCGCTTTCTCTCTGAACTTAACTTTCAGCTTTACAGGTGCCACGTCACGCTCTTGAACCATGTACGTGTTTTACGATCAAGACGCAACACACACACACACACACACACACACACACACACACACACACACACACACACACGCGGGAATGTTCCGCATTCAACTCTCGCAACAATAACCTGTGAAAGCGTGTATCTCTTAAGCCTTTTGTATCTGCGAGACTTTCAGATTTACATGTTCGGAGCACCATTTTCGCTTTCACTGAAAGATCACGGCTCTCCTCTCTCATTCTCACCCTATTCGGTCTGTCTCTTGCATCAGGCAGTGCCAGGGTAAATACAAAGTTCCAAACGCGTGGGGGGCGGGCTTTGGGGCTGGTGGGGGGGGGGGGGCGCAGGTATTGTGTTACTCTTGCCACAGCGACCCGGCCAGTTTGGTGTAAATGGAGATGAGACATCCTGCCTTGCGCTGTTCACACTTTTCTTTGGTTTGTAATTCATCCTCGTTTGCTGATGTCAAACACTGACGCTCGAAGAGGCAAAAAGGAAGTAAATAACGGCGAGAAAATTTCCCTCCTCTCGGCGTCTTTGGGGATTGGGTTTGAAAAATTCCATTTCAGTTTGCGGGTATGTTGTTGTGGATGAACAAAGGCTTCGTCATGATGCAACGATGTTTTTTCAAGTGGAACCGTGTGGGTCTTGAGAAAGGAAAGTGGCCCTTAAGTAGTAACTAGTGGGGTGTTTATTTACTATTCTGTAGAAAGTACAAAGCATGTACAAGGGGTAAGACATTTCCCTCAATATCAAAGTCTTGGCTATTAGGAACGTAGTAATTGATTCAAGGAAGTACAGTCAAACCTCGGTTTTCGAACGTCTTGGTTCTCGTACAATTCGGTTTTCGAACAAAAATTTTGAGTTTTTTATGCCTTGGATGACGAACAAATTTCGGTTCTCGAAAGTAACTGAGCGCACTTGAATGCGTCACTTCACTCCTCTCGGCTTCGCTTCCTCGTGTAGCGTCCATTCTGAGTAGACGTTTTTGTATTGTTCAATAAAGTTTTTTTTTAAAAAGCAGACGTGTTTGGTGAAACGCTTCCTCATGTAGCGTCCAATGTGAGCAGACAAGTTTGTATTGTTCAATAAAGATTTTAAAAAAAAAAAAGGCAGACATGTTTGGTGAGACGCTTCTGTTAAGGGGAGTGAAACCCCCCTCTTTTCAGAATGGTTTGCCATGTCTGATTCTTTCTGCAGATAGTTCAGGAGTATGAGCGTGCAGTTATCTTCAGACTAGGCCGCATCACAGACAGGAAGGCGAAAGGACCAGGTATGAACAATCAGTGTGTTTTTGTGAACATTCTAACATTTGAGCTTACTGAAGTAATATATTTCTCCACTGTGAATTCACAGGGATTTTCTTCATTTTGCCCTGTACTGATTCATGTGTTAAAGTTGATCTGCGAACTGTTTCTTTCGACATCCCTCCACAAGAGGTAATGATGGCACAAACCCCGAAAATGTTCTTGTATCTATGGCTATCGCCATGAAATGCGCTGAAAATCATTACATATTTGATGTCTTTAAAATACTGTCATTGGTTTTCACTGATGCTGTCTTATTAATTAGAATACAATATTTGGGCATTGTTTTACATTTGAATCTATCAGCTGGTAAATGTTTGGCGCCCCCTAGTGACAACGGCACCCTTAGCATTTGCCTTTACGGCCGAAATGGGTGCGTGAGCTTTGGTAAACATCACGCACGTCAAGAGGTGTTTATAACGATGTCTTTTTTTTTTTAAATCATCTTTATTTTATTTATGACCACACTGTATCATGTTAAGAATATTTTTATCATCATGCTTGCTTTTAGTCTAAGCTTCATTCATTGTATTTATGAAGCAGACTCAGACGTGCTCTTGTGAAGATCTCAAGTAGATTTTTTTTAACGAATTTTTAAAACGATTCATTCTGACTCAAAGGGCCTTTAAAAAAATTTTTTTTTTTTTTTTTTTTTTTTTTTTAAGCAGACGTGTTTGGTGAGAACTATGTAATATTGGACTGTTACTTTTGCATCGTGTATCAGCCCCTAATCATGGCACTAAAGAAAGCAAGTGGAAGTGGTAAACCTGTTGAAGAAAAGAGAAAAATAGTGCGCAAAACTATAGAATTTAAGAAAGATTTGATCACGAAATATGAGTCAGGTGTGCGTGTGTCTGTGTTGGCTAAGGAGTTCGGGATGCTGAAATGCCCCGCCTGCTGCCCTATGACAGCTGGGATAGGCGCATGCCCCACGACAGATAGAGAGAGAGCGAGAGAGAGAGAGAGAGAGAGAGAGAGAGAGATGTTCCTTCAATTTTTATGTTACTATGTTAATGTTAAAATTGGTGAAAATAAAACATTACAGTTTGTTCGTACAGTATTTTACATATTACCTGCTCTCTTATTACATGTGTACAGTTTATGGTGTGAAATTGTAAAAAAAAAAAAAAAGTGGTTTAAAAAAGTTGTTTTCTTGACTTGGAACAGATTAAAAATTGTTACTTTGATTCCAATGGGAAACATGGTTTCGGTTTTCGAACAATTCGGTTTTCGTACAGTCTTCTGGAACGGATTATGTACGAAAACCAAGGTTTGACTGTATTTTGAAGTGCTGCATCTCGACTGAGAAACTAGCATCTTTGTATGTCGGGGGGGAGGAGCTAAGTTTCGCCTGGGTCACATACAGTCGTAGGGTTTGAGATCGTGTGCTCCATGACATTCTCTCACCAACAATTGACCTGTTTTTAACGTTCTCTTATCGACTGTATGTGTTGATCTCAGCAACCTGCGGATTCTCCAGAAGTCATCGATAACGCCTTCGGAACCGAGCGACCAGTGGCAGGAGAAACCACTTTGTCTAGGCTCAGCCGGCTCCTGCGGCTCCATGCTGGTGGGACACATCCTGGGATTCGGAGAAGATGAATTGGGTCAGTGTGGCAATGCCCATTTTTATTAGTTAGTTGTCCTCCGGTTGACCAATCACTCGTCCAGGTTGCACCCAGCCTTCGGAAGAAAAAAAATAATGACTTGGGGAATATTTTGGCAAAATTATCTGCCGACAAAGCAGACATTTTTACTCTGCAATATTTCCTCCGACACGTAAATGTAACTCCCCACTTAAATCTCATGTATTTATATTTCCAACCCTATAGAATTATGATACTTCTTATTTTAAGATATTCTTACTTAAAACCTGTCACAAAATATCAAATGACGTTATAATGCCTCAAGATTTTTAAGAGCAAAAAAGATAAAAAATACAATTGGAATGTTATGACACAAAACACAACTGCCTCGTAAGAAGACATTTCTTGGCAGACAAAGAAAAAAATTGTCCTTTCCCCTAATTTTATATTTAATCTTGGTTACGTTTTAGTTTTGCAGTGTTAGCAAGCCATCTAGAAAAAAATTTAAAGTGACTTTTAATCTTACCCTATTTCCGTAAAATACGGGTGATTGGTGGCATTTATTGAGGGGATGCGTTTTATTTTGGGAAAACGATGAATCAATGTTACGCTTTTATAAATGTTGTGAAATGAAAGAGCGGACAGAGGCAGACTATAGCTGTTGACCGTCTCCCAGAGCGCTAATGCAGTGTTAGCGACTGTTTCCATGTTTTGGTCGATGCCACCGTTGCGGTACGCGACGGGGTGCGTTTAACTCTTTTGAAGATCTGTGTGAGTGAGCAAGTCAAGATAAAGCAAAGTTACTATTTGAGGGAGGCGTTTATTTTGTCACCGGATGACCCAGCCGGCGACTTGTCGGCGTTCTATTCGAGGGACGGCCACCATTTGAGGAAATACGGTTTCGACTTTCACTCGGCAGGATATTAAAATGCTTACTTCCTGGTGGATTAAATGTCTGTTCCATAAAACATCATGCATATAATCCCAAACGCTCACATTTTGCATACCAGGCCACCTACGGCGCAGCGTTTTGCACGGGTGTAGTGTGTTGCCGTCAATTTAGGAGCGCTCGGGTGAAGTGAGGTGAGCGGCCTAATGTGATACAGAACATTCTACCAGCTGCAGCCCACCAGTCACTGGCGGGGACTATGAACCGTCAGCTCGCAGTGTTTCTGATTAAGTCAAACACTCACTCAACAACAGCCAATCATAAATGTTTGATCGCCGCTCTCGCGCCAGCTGTCACTGTGTTTTGAAGGAGGTCTTTTAGATTCCCGCCCGCGGGGCGTGCGGCCCAAAAGCCGCGGGACCCCGCAGACACGTGTTTACACTTTGTCCCCTTATGGAATTTTGCTGTTTTTCATTAAATGGCCGTGAGGCGTCTTTCATGCGGGCGCTTTGCATTTCGTTTCAGGTGAAGGGTACATACTGGCGAGCAGTAAAAGCACGGCGCAGTCGCACAGCGGAAAACTCTACAAGTTGGTGGACCCCAAAAGGTACACTTCAACACTTCTTCCAAACCTTTTGCGCTCATTCGTCAGCGGGCGAACACAGGGCTGATCTTGTCAGTGTGCCTCTCAAGATCATGATTTTCATCACACTTTCAAACATACATTTCACAAAAACAAACCTAAGCTTTATACTGCATTCAACTTTTCACCTCCCCACTTTTTGAAGCCACACACCCGTTTCAACATTTCAACACACGCACCATAATTCAAATTTTGGCTATCAACGCAAAGCACTGAGGACTACAATGGAAATAAGCTCTTGCGTCTTTACTCTGTTTTTATCCTCGGTGAAGAAGGACTGAGTGACGGAACGCTTTATTATGCTGTCTTGTGCGCGATCACCAAATAAATTCAATCACTTGGCAAAAAACATCATGAACCGACGGCCCGTTACGTGAAAAGTCGGGCACTTGTAAGTCAAGGTAACCATGTATATCACGAAATGAGATGGTGCACCCCTTTTTCTGCTTCAGTAATGTTTAAAAAAAAAAAAAACAACAACACAAGCATTCAAAGGGATTATGTTCAACATCATATAAATGTGTAATTTTAACACTGAATTACCGTCGCCCTTTTCTATCTTGCACAGCCCCCGGGGTGCACATACAGCAGCTCGGGATCGTGTTGCCGATCACATTTTTTTTTAATATAACCTGCCGATGTGTGCAGTAGGTTGTGGCCTTAAATATCTTCTGAGAGGCAGAATTAGACGCAGAGGAGCCATCGTGGAAGTGTACCCAATAAAATGGCTGGGTGTCACATGATCCCGCGCTGATGCAACCCACAAGGCCACCGTTAATCACCCGTCTTTCAAATCCTCGCTAATGCCAACGGGTCGTTACATGATGGCCCACCCCACTCTCTGCCGGCCCAAGTCAGCACAGAACGGTAACCGGAGAGCAAGTGTTGCATTTCACTACGTTAGTGTCAGGTTTTGCTAACGGCGGCGCTGGGTGGACGTGCGCCGTAACTGGCAACGTAACCGCACGCCGGTTATTTTCGGAGCAGTCGCACAGCAGGCTTTATTTTGCTGAGAGTGGGGGAAAATCACCGGGGCACCTGTTTTTCACACGTCATTCATTTATTTCAGCACGTGCGCCAACACGGTGCTTCGCTAACCTTTTAAACCAACTACCCACTCCCCAAGTACCACTATATTGACCAACCTTCAAATACCGTGTTGTGTCGTCGCCTCAAGTGTTCATCCAAAATGCAGCAGAAGTTTAATTTTTCAAATATATATATTAATAATATCCATCATTATTAGAAGACCCTTGCCTGCCATCTGCGAAAACCGGCATGTTGCCCTTACCCACTGCCTGTAAAAACTGGCATTTTCTCACCGTTTTTGCTAGGCATGTGGACTGCACCCGTCGGCAAATCGTGAGACCGCGAATAATTGACACCCTCACTAAAAGGCGTTTGTGATTGCGTTATAGATGCCAGGAGATGGTGGAAAACCGTTTAAAATGGAAAGGATCATAAAGCACCAACACCAAGCATCCATGACGTGCATAATTGTACACCCGCCTTACATAAATGGCCGTATTCCAAAATGAAATCATTCACCACAAACAAATCACCTTCACATGAGGCTCATCAATAGCACGAGCTAGCATACTAGCCTAAATAACACGCTAGCACAGGGGCAAACAAATATGCACGCTAGCACTTGGCGTAAACGGTATTGAGTCACAAATTTGCTGACGCGCAAACACGCAGAGGTTCGCTGGACTCTCTATAACCGGCACTAATATGGAATGGCGGTATGAAGTGGACCATGTCAGTTTTCCGCCTCGTGAAATCGAATCAGAAGCCCCTTTTACGCTGCCCGTAAAAAAAAAAAAAAAAAAAAGCCGGCATTACATTACAGGTATTTCTTATAGTATCGGATCATGTTTGATTTTGGAGGCTCTAAATGTATGCAACGCACGCATGTAGTTTTTCCGTGCCGCTAAAGCACTGGCGTTGAACAAGGAGCAGCCAAAAGAACGGCTCGCCAATGAAATAGTGTATCGCCTGTTAAATGAAGAGAGACAGATTTAGTCGAAAAGGCCAAGTGGGAATCGCACTTGAAATATGTTATGCAGCTGATCGGTTGCGGGTGACGACAGTGCCACCCAGGCATCGCCGCAATTAATTACAGCGCAGATGTTTCAAAAAGGGGCCCCCATGACTTGCTCCGTATTTATGTTTTCTGGCCCGAGCGCTGGATGCATTTCTCCCCTCGTCAGAACATTTCTTTCCACCGTGGACTGGACTTGTTTAGTCTGCAGACGCTGTGTTGCGGCAGTCCCGCTACTTTATTATTAGGAAAATTAAAATAAAATAATATAAAAATAAGAACATAATCATGTGTTGTCAGAATAAGATTTTTTTTTTTTTTTGCTGGTAGTATTGCGTTATTCCTGACTTTTAGTAAGTAATATTATGACCTCGTTCTCATGGTCCAACTTTATTCCATCACAACAGAGGTGCCCAACCTTTTTTCGACCGTCGATCGACTTTTCAAGCTGCCAAACTCCCGCGATCGACCAGTTATCGCACGTACACGTATCGGGGACAAGCACCGTTTTTTTTTTTTTTTTTTTTTTGGTGTCCAATTCAGACCTTTTCTTTGGGCAATGTGACAACGCAGTCATAAAACGACAATTTGTTTTTTGCTTGTAACATCTCAACGATGTTTTCGTAAAAAAAAAATTTTCGTAAAACTTTTTTTTGGCAATTTTTATAACATGACCTGCTCCGCTTCTATAATACAATGGTTTGTAAAATTGTATTTTTAATAAATATCTAAAATATTTTAAATCATAATACAAAT